TCCTGCTTCAGGGTTTGCTATTGGCAGCTAGAATCAGGAAGAAATTCTGCTTTTGTATAGATAGTGAGGTACCATGACTGTGCACAGCGTGGTAAATGTAAGTGATCAGATAACACATAGTTTTGTATCCTGAAAAACTTAGTCTTGAGGGACAGGTGGAGACATACAAAGCAAGGCAGTGTGAAGAGTGAGAGGGGCAGCCATCCCAGTGTGAATGTTTCATGCTTGAAAGGAGTATGAAAAGAGATGCCTAAAGCCAGGGATCGAAAGAATTATAAGGGCGTTGTTTTAAAACAAGTCTCTAAGCCCAGTTTTCTGACCATGCAGATGATGACATCCTCAAATGAAGTTAGAGAGAGAGAATACTCCCCTTACTCCTGGTGAATAGTACCCTACATATTAAATAGTACCACTGAAAGCACTGGAATTTGTTATGCATATACCATTCAGCTCAACCAAGGATCTTAGAATCTATCCCTTAGAGACTGTCATTAATTAGATGGACTTTCCAGAAGGAGACAGTCATGCACAAAGGTGATCTACCCTGTACTACGCAGAAAAGTGATCCACTCTGTACTATACAGAATAAGGGAGAAGAAACTCCCAGGAAAAAATAGTGGGGAGCATATCCTGTCTGGAATATAAAGATACCTTGTAGGTGGACAATATGCGGGAAGTAATCATGCTGCCGGCAGAACAGTTGGAAGAATTTGACCAAAACAACCACAGGATTCATGTACCCAGTAGTGATACCATAACGAAGGACCTTATCGTTGTGTTTCTGTTCTTTCCTTCTCAGCAAAACCAGACAACTGTGAATCGTTTAAGGAGGATCCACCATCTCATGAAGTTATTATTGCTTCAATTACAGTCCTAAGTATTTTCCTTGTGGCCATTATTTTGCTGGTGAGGTACTTCAGGTGTTCTGGTAAGTACATTTCCTCGTTTTGAGAGGCACGTTCAGGAGAAATGGTCAAATATACTGTTTTCTGCACTCCTTTTTCTTGTTTTCACAGAGCGTATATCCATATCTCAGAAAGTAGGGTTTGCCTAAATTCTAGCGGCTCTCCAGATCCTAGATTGTCCTTTCATTTGCTATGGAGACAGGAGTGCTAGAAGGAAGGAAGTTTGGCACCAGATCAGAAGTCCTAGAGACTGTTTAGATCTGGAGAGGCTGGTTCATGCCCATTATTCTGCTTTGCAATGGATAAAGATGAACCTTTGCCAGGGGTGAATGTGCTGTGCAATACCATGTTTCAAAATGCAGTTGAGAACTTGCTGTGTCAAACAGACTTCTCCACAACCAAATCCTATTTGCACATCCCTTGTCTTTCTCAGGAAAGCCTTGAGGCCAGTGTTACAAAGGTAAGTAGGGCTAGATCCACAAAGTGGGACTTAAGCCAGGTAAAGCCTAACATTTAGGCATCTAAATTGCCAGTGGAATTCACAGCACCCCAGAATGGCTAGCGCACGCAGAATGCCAAGGAAGTCATCTTAAGAGGTGTTTCTTAAGATGACTTCTTAGACACGTGAGCACACGCAACCGTCTACAGGATTTGAGTGCAAAGTCCTTTCTTTTAAAAGCTAAGGTGGAATTGATCTTTTCTTTCAGAACATGGCCAGAGAAGGTAATGGAGCTCCCATTTTTGTCCCATAGCTCCTTGTCAACAGCATTCACTCAGGCAGTGTAAGACCTAGGCTTAGTTGCCTCTTAGGCCTGAGGGGGTCCAACGCATGTCCTCCATCTCTCAGGAAAGGCCCTAACCACCAAGCTAGATAGTATTCTGGGATGGGAGATGTTCCAATTTCTATATATATTTAAATATTTTGGGAGGGGCAAAGAAAGAGTGCAGAAAGAAAGGTTTAGCCTAGTGGTTAACTTTAAAAAAACACTTGGATGCTTATCTTGCTGGGATCATTTGACCCCTGCTGACTTCCTGCTCCTGGGGCAGAGGGTTGGACCCAATGAACTTGCAAGGTCCCTTCCACCCCTAATGTCTAGGAAATCTATGAAATCACTCCCTTTTGTGGAGAGGACGTGAATTCTAGTCTGTGCCACGCTCAGTATTTCTCTGTTTCAACTGAAGAAGTTAATGCTCTGAGAACACCTACACCTGAGAAGTGCCTCAGGTAAAATATATAAACATGTATCTAGTGGTGTGGGTCTCAGTGGGGCTTAGGCATGAGCAATGCACAGAGCTGCTCAGCATGGTCAAGACTGAGGTACTTTTGGGCATGCCTGGAAGGAGACCTGTAGGTGCCCAGGAACATCAGCATTGGAAGCCTGTGTGCTCCAGGGTATTCCTATGCATTCCTATGGACTCCAGGGGTAACTGGAAGCTGAGCAGGGGATCTACATTTTATCTCCTGGCCGTCTTTTCCAGTGACTAAGTCCCTGTGCGGATCTAGGCAACTAAAGATGCATTGTGTGGGGTTTACAAAAGTACTAAACTGGTTAGGCACCTGACTGCTTTTGGAAAGCCAATAGGAGCAAATGCAAATCTGCATCACTAGGCACTGTGAAGAGCTGTGAAAATGTAGCTCTGGAGTGGGGATAGGTGGACCCTGTAGTGTTGTCTAAAGATTGCCCTGCTAAGGTTTGTGGGGTCACAGAGATAGAGAGTTTTGGAGTCAAGAGTCCCTCAACAGCTGGACTAGTTGCAGTGCCTTAAGTGTTCATAGGTAGCTGTGACAACCCCCGGTGGGACAGGCAGTGGCACCCCCTGTGGAAGAGGTAGTTTTTAAGCCATGGAGGGGGTACTCATCATTTTGTTGTGCTTGGGCCTTCCACTGCTCCTGCTTCTAATTTTAAATGAGCTCTGTTTGCAAGTAAAAGGATTTGGTTGTTTCCTATCTGCTGGTCCCCTGCAAAATCAGCCTAGGCTCTGAGGGTAGCTGAGATATTTTCCTCCCAGGACCCTGTGACCCATAAGCAAGGTTTCATGGCAAAGTTCTGACTAGGCTTAAAACTTGAATAAATGTAGGCTGAAAATGAGACAATTTCTAAGTGTCAGAACAACAAGATTCCCGGCAAGCTCTCCAGTCAGAGTGCTGGGACCAGGCCACCAAACTGGTTTTCAAATGGAGGTTGATCAGCTTCTGAAAGGGACCATGTGGTATGGTTGCCTGTGGTAGCAGGGGACTGGCCTCAGGCCCAGGCTTAGCATCTGATGAAATAAGCTGTCTCCTAGGAAAGCCTATGACTGGACCAGTTAGTCTCTGGGGTGCCACCCTACCCTGCCTTTGGTCAAGTCTAGGTTCATCATAATACACACAGGCAGCACATCTGTGGAGTAGAATGATGCTGTTTTGCACAGTCATGTGTCAGAGAACAGTTGTACTACTGTGAAAGCTGGAGCCTCAAACCAGCTTCCAGGTTTTTCTACAGTTAAATTGCACTTTGGTGCTTCTGAGCATCACAACCTGGTTGACGGGAAACATCTCCCTGCAACCAAGTGCTTCCTGCTAGGGCTTCTTCAGATAGCATCTCACTGTTTTCTCCCTTGCGGCAGGACCATGGAGCTCAATCCATGCCTCAGAACTGTAACATTATTCTAGACAGCTGGACTTGGGGCAGGCTTGTGGCTAAGAGAAGGTTTTCCTAGAAGCAAAGGCCATGCTAAAAGGATCTGATTATGCTAAAAGGAAGGGAGGCATAAAAAAAAGGAACAAAAGGGAAGGCAAAGTTTCTCTGGGGTCATGGTGCTGAGCTGTTGGTGGCCTTTGTACCAAGTAGACAATCTCCAGTTCTGCTCCAGGAAATAGTATTGAAGACACAATATTCTGCTTGTTCTTTCTTACTCGTCCTGGACCCATAAGGGAAGCTGCTTTGGTTCTCCTCCCTTCATCTGTTTGCTGCATGAGTCACACTGCTGACTGTCATGCAATTTACACCACTTCTGTCCCTTCCAAATTTGCCTCGGTATCTGTTGGGCAGCTCTGTCCCTGTGCTGAGATCCAATGTTGTACCAGCGGGACAGGTGTGTAACTGAGGCTTCACTTAAAAGGCTTCACCAAGCCAGTCTGCAAATGACTATGCACACTAACATACACTAACTATTCCAACACATGGTAAGAAACAGTTCTGCTCAAGTGGTAATGATGCTAGGCCTAAGAACTCTTCTCTGTCTGATTGCTTTGAGAATACTCTTGATCACCTCCACTGCAGGAGCGGAGCGGAGGATGGAAAATACTGGACTTTCTGGGCACATCTGCATGACACACTTTATTGTGTAGTAAGCATTCACGTCTACATGTGCAGATGCTTACTGTGCAGTAATTGGTTCTAATCGTGAGTAAATTTGCTACCTGCAAATGCAAGTAGCAAATTTATTCGAGATTACATACTGCGCGGTAGTGCACATGTAGACGCCTGACCAGGAGCAAATGTGCTCCCAGTCAGCTGGGCAGCAGGGGACAGGAGATTTGCTCCCTGCCCCCAGAAGCTGTCTGCTGCTGGGGCAGGCTCTGCCACCAGAGCCTGGGTGGGAACAATATCCCCCTACCCCAGCAGCAGGGAGCTCCCAGCCCCTACTCCGCAATCATGGGGCCAGGGCTGGGAGATCCTTCTCTCCCAACGCCAGCTCCATGGTCATGGGTCTGGGTCTGGCTCTGGGAGATTCTTCTCTCGCAGCCCCTACTCCAAGATCGCAGGGCTGGGAAAGAAGGATCTCCTAGTCTGAGTCCTGTAGTCATGGGGCCAGTGCTGGGAGATTCTTCTCTACCACCCCTTGCTCCATGATCCTGGGGCTGAGAGAGAAGGATCTCCCAGCGCTGGCCCTCCAACCATGGAGCTGACGCCGGGAAATAAGGATCTCCCAGCCCAGGTCCTGTGACTGTGGGACTTGGGCTGGGATATAAGGATCTCCCAGCCTGGCCCCATGATTGCGGAGTAGGGGCTGGGAGCGCCCTGCTGCTGGAGTAGCAGATAGTGTTCCCACCCAGGCTGTGGTGGCAGAGCCTGCCCCAGCAGCAGGCAGCTTCTGGGGGCCGGGAGCAAATCCCCCCCGTGGAGCTAGGCCAGGAGATAAGGGTCTCCCAGTGCCAGCCCCATGAAGGATCTCCCAGCCTGGGCCGCATGATCATGGAGCTTCAGCTGGGAACTCCAGGCTGCTGGGACAGGGGAACATTGTCCCTGCCTGGTCTCCAGTGGCAGAGCCCAACCCAGCAGCAGGCAGCTCCCAGGGGCAGGGAGCAATATCCTAGCCCCTGCCAGGAGACAGTTGTCTCCTGGCCCCTGGGCTAGCACCCAGGGAGAGCCTGGACTTCCCCCTGGCTGCTGCAGGTGCCCATTGCAGGGCTGCACAAAGTGGAAGCAGTCTGCTCCTAGGAGCAGAAAATCTGCTTTTGCATCCCTGCATGGGTAGATATGTACCTGAGAGAGTTTACTCTTGAGTAGTTTAGTTGAGAGTAAATTGCTCCTGTATTATTTGCACATGTAGACGCACCCAGTGTTTACTTTCCTCCTTCAGTATCCACTCTGTCACTGTGTGAGACAGGACCCTGGGTTAAATGAACCTAAGGTCTGACTCAGTAAATGGCAGCTCTTATGTTCAACCATGTTAAAAAAGACCGGAACTTTGCTGAAGGAAGCATTTGGACCTAGCACAATGGAGCATATTGGAAATCCAAGTGCTTAATAAGGATTTTTCTCTTTACTTTAGCCTGTGAACGTGTGAGGAGTTCTTACAACGGTACTAGTCAGCCAACAGCAACAGAAGATGAAACCAAATTGGGTACGAAGACAACAATGTTCCAGTTCTGCACAATGACATCTGAAACATCTTCCTTCTGATAAGACCACATTGGCAGGTAATGCTCTATACCATTTTTTATAGCATAACAGACTGTGCAGTACTGTGTGTTGGCAACATTGGCACACATGGCATTTGGCTGCTCTGTGATCCAGCACTGTTCTTTTCTGGGGTCAAAGCAGCCAGGCAGAACTATACAGGTGACAAATTCTCTACTGGACCTGGTAATGGCTCCCAGCCAAGTTGCCACAGAGGTTTTCTGGTTTTTTCTGCTTTAAAAATAAACTTGATTCTATCTCAGTTTTTTCTTTTTTTTTCAACCATACTCTCAACTGACCCATAGATTTGGTTTCCATTGCAATTGAGAATTCTGCCCCCATAATTGTCACAGCACTGACACTGTTAGTGCTAGCTTTCTCCATAAGTACAGCCATAATTTGCTTCAGTTGCAGAGAGGAAAGGTGTTCTTGGTTTCCTTTCTAATACTGCACCCAAGTTGGGCAATTGTTACAAGAAAGATGGGTTTCCTAGGCCACTGGCTCACAAGGATCCTCAGTCCTGTTCATTTCACACACACTACAACTGAGAGCTATATGTTGCTTGCCATTCAGGGTGAAAACAGAAGTGACATTTGTTGCGTGATCAGCCCCGTGAAAGCACTCTACAGCTATGCCGTGATACATGCATGGCTGCAGAGCACTTTAAAAGTGGTCAATCACATGACTAATTAACCGTCATCAAATGAGGGATCAGATGAAGACGTTCCACTTTGGAGTGCTTTAGGGAACTTCTGTTCCCTAGGGTCAATCTGTCGCATGATGCAGCCCCACCCTTGGTACTGTCTGCAGGAAGGGAAGGGGGAGATGGGAGGGGAGCAAGCTGTGGATTGGGGTTTGTCCAGCCTGAGCTGGAGAGGGAGGTGGGTGGATTGGAGTCCCCCCTTCCTGCACCCCTCCCCCCAGCTGCCCTTCCCTCCAGCTCAGGTCAGGCAAACCCCAGCCTGCAGCTCACACCCCATCCCTTCTCCCCACCCCCCACTGCAGACGGCACTGGAGCTGGGGAGGAAGGGGGCTAGGGGAGAGAGGCTGCAGGCAGACTCCTTGGCCTTGATCAGCTCCAAAATGGAGCTCAATTTCCCCCCTGAACATCTCTTGGGTCAGGGGGACCACTCTAACCCATGGCACTTTATGTAAAGCACCATGAGTTAGAGCAGGGGCCTGCATGTCTGTCAGCACCCTCAGTTGCTATCAGTTTGAATCAGATTTGAACCTTTCAGTGGTAGTTAATCTCTGACTAGTCTCATGTGCTGCTTTATCCCCTAGAGAGAATTACTGGTAAATTGCTTATAGGCCATATACCTCTCTTGTCTTGTCAAATGGACAGAGGTTGGCGTTGAGGGTAAGGTTTATGGAGGATGGGGTGTTGAGGAAGGGGGGAAACTGTGAGGGAGTAACACTGTCTTTCAGAATAAGGATCCCAAATGCCAGTAACTGCAAGGCACCTCCCTGTAAGCTTTCCTTTTCAGCAACTTGTGGGGAAAGAATTTTCTGAGTTTCCCAAAAATTTGTAGTGAGGGATTTGATAGTATGACATCCTATCAAAAGCCTAAGGTATGAAATGTCTTCCTTAGGAGCTCAAGAGGTCCACATTTTCAAAATGCAACATATTTTTCTGATATTTCATGGGATCAAGTCAAAGGTGCCTGGGAAGAGTCTGGGTCAAAATGGGGCTGTCAAGTGGGGATGATGCCCTTGTACTTCTGTGTTGAATTTTGGAGAAAGAAAGATTCCCAGCGGCACTTTCTGCAGTCAGTTTTGTGACCCGTAGGGCCCCCTCTATACTGTTGATTTAGGACTTGACTTAGAGCTGACTCTTCCCCCAAGGTTTCTGGCTCATAAGCAGACAGTCAAAAGAGAGAAAGGGAAATGCTACCAAGGCTCAGACCTAAATGTGTCTAATATGTTGCTTCCAAGACACTGTTACACTCCTGTGTGTGCAACTGACCCTCTTGGATGGGCTGGAAGTGCTCACCGTTGCTTTAGGTCCTGTATGCCAAATAAGTTTTCCTTTGGGTTGAGGCAGTGTGGCCGGTGCATAAAGAGCTCACTATTACTGTGACTACTGTTCTGGAGCAGGTGGATCTGGGTTCGAGTCCTGATGTCAGCACAGAACTCTGAACAGCCTGGGTGTGCTGTACACTAAAGCAAGGAAGCCCCATGGCATCATGGATTTGTCACAGAGCTTGTACTTGTGGTTCTGGTAACTGAAAGGCTTGGAGATACTTTTGAGAATGAGAGAAGGGGAAAACTACTGTATTACCTACTTTTCTCATTTCCAAACCTGCCACCCACTCATGCTGCCCTATGGGGAAGGCCCTGCCTGGAACAGATACTAAAGCCGTATTTAGCATGAATTTGGGGGAGTTTTGTTAGCACTGTTTGACAGTGGGAGTTCACCAGCTGAATAAATCCATTCCACTGTATTCCTCTTTCTTATAATGTCCCTGTGGCTTTTTTTATAATGGCTTGGTGGTTCCCAGTCCCACTGCTTGGAATGGTTGCTGTCTGGTGGGTGGAGCAGGGAGTGACTTTGTCAGAAGTCCCAAGATCATCTACTGCTGCGGCTGAACCCAAGGCAGTTCTCTCTCGGCACTGTGTGGCTGTGAGGCACAAGCCACAGCCCTTTGCATGTTAAATAGCTCGGCTTGCCTAGAAGGAAATCTCTTTCCATGCACCCCACAAAGTATAACCAGAACCAAATGCTGACCTAGATTCTAACCTAAAATATGGTGTTTATTGAGGCCTGCCTTTACTTTTTCTGCCTTCACACAGCTCTTCTTTCATTATTGCTCCTGGAAGTAGGAACTATCACATGGTCTTCAGGCAGATCCTATTGTGTCTCACATTGTTGTTGTATATATTTAAGAGTTAAAACTAAACCCTACCATTTGTGTCTCTTCAGGTCTCTTATCCTCAGTGCCCTGCACTGCATTCCCATTGTCCTCCATGACTGGTGCTTATTCCATAGACCCTTTGACTCTTCAAGAGGAGGACAGAGTAGAAGGTAAAATCTGCTCAAATGGACTGGGAAGATGTCTTTTGTGAATAAAAAGCCCCCTACAGGAGCACTAGGAGGGTAACACGCCAGGACCCTGCCTCTGCAACCCCACCTTGAGGAAAGCTCTGTTTCCCTGGTGAGCCGCAAGAAGAAACTTCAGCAGCATCCTGATGCTCCAAAATGCCACCTGCTTCCTCATAGTCTGGGATGTTTGGCTTTGCTGCCTCTGGGGTTAAGGTGAGCATGGAGGTTTGCCACATCAATCTCTCTCCTTTAGTGAGGAGGCACTGGGCCTTTGGAAACTAGATTCCAACATGCAGTCTCCAAGCACAGGTTGAGCCTCTGTGGTATAACCGTAGGCAGCTATTGTCAGCTCCATTCATGCCTAGCCCGTTGGGTTCTGACACTTTGCTAGTGCAATTATTGGGCTACGATTTTTGATTGAGGATGTATTAGAGGACTTGGGTGCTGTTTCTCCAACAAGGAAGCAAGGTTCAGCTCCTACTTAGGAAAGAGCAAAGCAGAAATGGGAAAAAATATGCTTATTTCAGTAACCATAACTTAATGCAGACTGGAACAGCATGCATAAGCCGACAGTACAGTCAACAGTCAGCTAACAAACACACCTACTTTGCAGCGCTTGTGACCATCTCGCTCAGCAGAAAGGCTCCTCCAACCAGTGAGCCAACATGCATGTCCTTTAGCTCATAAAAAGGAGAACCCAGATACTCAGGGGCATGCCTGACATGTCCCAGCCCACTGGGTGTGGCTGGGCTTGCAGACACAACTGCCTTGTTACACACATTTCCCATCAGCACTTGTTCTGATGTCCTGTGCACATGCATGACCACATCACTCCACAGGTAACCCATGTGAGAATATAACATGAGGCAACATACGATTCATAATGTCTAGCTTTAAAAACTCAGGCTGTGGCCCTCTAGTGCGAGGGGAGGTCAGCTATCTATAAAAATGCAGTGGCCCTTGTTACAATAGGTTCTCCACAGTGCCAGGGAAGAAGGGTTTCTATTGGTCTCCCATAGGGAGATGAGCAGTATAGGACTTCCCTTGCTTGGAATGCAGTGGTTCTCATGGTCTATGCCCCCCTATATCAAGTCAGAAGCTGAAGCATGGAAGAACCTCACTGGACTCTAGCACTGGATAGGACCTACCCACATCCTGTCTGTCTGATTTTATTCCCTACTGTGTAGGAAAGAGACATTTCTCATTTTAAAGGGAAAACCAGAACCTAAGAGATTTCTTGCACAATGGAACTAACTTCATTTGGCCCCAGCTTGTCCATGGTCTTTCTTTGCTCTGCTGTTAATTCTATGTTTTAGCTTCATCCAGCATATTCTTCAGCCATGGGTAAGCTTTAGCCAGGAGCTGAAGGTCAGTAGAATGGATGTCGGCTGGGAGAAGGGTTGCCAAAAGCGCTGCTTTGATCCCAGGCAGCTGTATGTGGGCACCTGCCAGCAAGTTTGCAGCGGAGGTGCAACAATGAAATGTTCCAAATCTCTTTCTTTTCTGATAAAAGGTGGGTGTGAGAGAAATTAGTGGAGGGAACAAGGATGAAAACAAGGGTGGGGTATAGTAGAGCAGTGGGAGACCATCCTTTTTAGCAGGTACGCCACAAATTTAGCCCTGCATCCTCCCTGAGTGCTACTCAAACCCCCTTCCCCTGCCTAATTTGCTGCTCTGTTTTCTCCTGCCCTGTGCTTCCTACCCAATCTGCTCCCCTTTCTACTTCCTGCCAGATCTGTTGCTCTGCTTTCTGCCTTACCTGTTGCTGTGCTCCCTGTCCCCTCCCTGATCTGCCACATACAGAGACTAACTATGCTACTTGTGGTACGCGTGCCAAATCTGAGGGGAGTGAAAAATTAAAGTATGGCAATTCTACATGGTCCCCTCTACCAACAACCAAGCTGCTCATTTAGCTACTTCTACTCCTTCCCTTTGGTGTCCTAAGTTTGGAGCTGCTCAATATTCCAAATGGAGACTTTAAGGAAGAGACTGCACTGAGAGTGGCTGTTAGGCCACAAACTGCTGCTGTTGGAAAGGAGATGGTGCCCAAGCACTGCACAGCTTTTGACCAAACACCCTCTGCCCTTTGCAGTGAAGCACTTATACTCACTGGCTGACCAGATGGGTTACTCTTGTGCCATGCCACAGCCACAACCAGGGTACCTCAGAGTGCCAAATAAGGCACCATTGTGAGTAGGGACAGCTTGGCACAATGGCATCTCAAGGAGTTGGTGCACGGTGGGTGGGTGAAATGGTTTCCCTTATTCTTCATTTACTTCCTGGCTCCCTGCTGCTCTTGATGTCCATGGGTGGCAGGCAGGAGCCTGCCATCGCTAAACGTCTACCTTATCACTTCTATACCTGCTTGGCAACTTAAATCTTCATGCCTGCTTTCATACCACTCTGTGCATTGCCCCACACTTCAAGCCTGCTCTCCTCCAGAACGTCTTGTTCCGTGATGCAGCCCATTAAAACAACCACGGATAGGCTCCCATACAACCTTCTTCCTCAGGCTGTTCCATGCTTGATCTGTGATCCTAACAAAAGGTCTCTGAGGGGAGGGCTTGTCTCCTGTATAGTGATCTCTTCTGTAAATCACCACAGGCCTGTAGGATTTTGAAGAACAGCAACTCCTGACTGATAAGGAATTTTGTACTGACAGAATTGTAATAGACTTAAGGTTTGATTATTTTTCTTGTAAAACATGATCCATGTTTTCTATTGTCTCACGCTGTTTTCAGTGAATTGCACACAAATGGTTTCCATGAGACCTTTTCAGCTTGTTTTGTGCCTGAACTTTTCACATCTTAATTTTTGATAAGATATTCATTGTATTAAGAGTAAACTTACAATTAGTTTCTTCCTCTTAATAATAAAAACACATGCTCTACATGCTGGGAAGTGATGTCTTTTGTCCTGTTACTTACTCCTCCAACAGCTTAGAGCTATGCTGTTGTATCTGCTACAAAGGGGTAAGTAGTATAGGTCACACCAAGCTGTAACGTGAGGTGCCCATCATGAACTAGACTGTCCTCAGGTAACTTCTCACTGGTTGCTTGAAGATTACGCTAGAATACCCAGGGAGTGCTGAGGTTGAAGCCCCAATCCTGCAAGTACCAACAGCAATTGGAGTCAAGGGTTACAGCATCCCTTGTCAGGGGTGGCCAACCTGTGGCATACATGCCATGAATGGCACAGCAGCCTCTGTGTATGGTATGTGACAAATTGAGGAGGTGACATGTGACAGTACACTGGCAGATAGGGCAGGGAGCAGAAAGTAGAGCATCAGATTGTGCAGGGGCAGGGGATCAGAGTGGGACTCAGGGAGGGTACAGGGCTAACTGCCAAAAGGGCGGGTCTTAGATTAACAAGTCACACAGCAAGAACCAACATGCACTCAGCAACACCCTCAGTAGCAAGTTGAGTGGATTGGCCAAGTTGAAGGGCACAGAGACCATCTCCACCAACATTAGTTGGTGCTCCTGGAGCAGCCTCAGCAAGCCAGAACAGCCTCCAGTTAATCTTCCTTCTAACCACAGAAGTGGAGTCCTTCACACATCACGCAGCTGCAGCACACATGTGCTTGTGCTGTTCTCCTGCCACTGTGCATCTGCCATGTAAGTGAAGAGCTACAGTCTTCAACTGTGCAACATCCCATCTTTTGCCAAAGGGAAGAACTTATTTGAAAAGAAGATGCAAGTTCAGAGCCAGCTTTACTCTTCCCATTCTAGTCAATGGCTTTATTAGAAGAAATAAGGAACTACATAGAAATGCTTACTTTACAGGAAACACAGCAAGAAGGGTGATTCTGTTTCTAAACACCAACAGACCAACTGCTAATATGGGAACTTGACAACGCTAAGGCACAGTATGGCCAGGCATTCGATTCTCACCACCCTGAACGAGGGGGGGACAAGGGCAAAATATATCAATGGAAAATGGGAGGTAGGCTCCAATTATTTTCTCAGAAAGAGTACCACCGTGCAAGAGGCCACGCACAGGAAAACGAGCATCATCTTAGTCATTGCACAAAGGGCACTGAAAAGAGGAAGAGGCATAATGAGACTGAAGTACATGCTGCTCTGTCACCACAAAAAGCAAGCTGTGGGAGTGTGGGATGTTTGGTAGGCAGGTACCAGCAAAACCATAGGTAGGCATGGGAAAAAAGAAAGCTAGTCAATGGCTAAAAGTAATCTTAGCAAGGGACTAGACTTCTTTGGCCGGAAGGACGTGTTGGCTGCACTGGGGAGTTTAAACTGGGAGGGGGCGGAGGGCTGAGAATTAAGCTGCACCAAAGCAATACACATTTCTCCCTCTGTGGTAGAGCAGGGGGAGAAGAAAAACAAAGCCCAACCAAAAAATGCATTTGTCTCCTGCAGTACCATGTTTAACAAACAAAATGCTCCTTTTGGAAAATATGAAAAGTAGGTGCTTATTAAAAACGAGGAAATGTATCCAAAAATCTGGCTTGGGTGCATGGGATATGTTCTGCTAAAGGAGCTGTGCAGCTGTTACCAACCACCCTGGGGGAGGAATAATGTTTGGGCAGAACTTAGTGATAATATACAGCTGGCTGAACTTTTGGAAAGGGAGCCATAAAATCATTCCAGGGTCAGGGAGCATTAAGTGCCAGAGGCAGAAAAGAGCTTGCTTCTGACTTCAACCTTGTTGGGCATTTTATTTCAGTTAAACAGAATGGGAACTTGTGCTTACAACCCTCTGCCTAGCACAAAATGGTGAAGGAAGACATAACTCTTACAGCTACAGGCCATTATTAATTCAAATCCAGTCCAAATGTTCGTTTCATAGTGCTACCAGAGAGCCATTGGATCATACCCGTGAGAAATGAGGTTTTCACTTACTCAGGCTTCTTGTTACTGAATCATGGTAAAGTCTAAATGGGGCTGTGAGACTTGACGGCCCACACCCCTACTGATGAGCTTTGGTGAACCTCACTCACGGGCTATGGCTCAGACCTTTTCCCCAGAACTAATACCACATGGGCAGAGCAAGAGACAATCCTAGAAGACAAGGTCTATACAATATTATTTAATTTTCTTTTTCATCTAAACAACACTCTCAATCTTTCCTCCAGGATGATATCATGATTTGTAACTTATTGTTAGGGGGTATCTTTGCCCCATAATGCCAATCCCTCCAGCCAACAGAAGTGTCATCCTTGCTGTAGGACCCATTCCAGAAGGATGTTCTTTATGTGAGATTCCCAAGGCCTGTCCTCTCCAGGAAGCCTGATTCCCTCCCTCAGCCTCAGTTGTAACATACTCCAATCATAATCACAGCCAAGTCTCTATTACTGTGAGCAGCCTGACTAGACCCACTCAGCAGACTTCTTCAAACCACAGCACTGGTCCCACCAGAACAAGGTTAAGATGTGTTGAAGGGATTAGCACAGGGGTGGGCAATTATTTGGGCCAAAGGGCCGCACAGGGAGTATTGATGAGCTGTCACGGGCCAGGTCAACACCCCCCTCCCCCCAACTCACCGAAAGTCCCTATGGGGCTTTGGCTGGGCAGTGAGCAGTGCTCAGGAGCAGGATGCACATGATCTGCTCTGTGCATGCCCTATAGTGGGGGGGGGGGGGTGCATGCAGCAATACTTGCTCAGTCTGTGGTTGGCCCTGTGGCACTATGCATGGGGCTGACCCCCACCTGGGGCAGCCCATGCTGAGCTTCTGCCCACACCTGCCAACCCTAACCCACCAACCCTGACTCAGGCCCTGGCCAGCGTGCAGCTTCAGGTGAGGCTGTTCCTGGTGTGGCTGCAGCTGGCCAGGTGCTTCTCTGCTCCCCTCATCTCCAGCAGGAGCTGCCAGCATGAAGCTTCTCCCCACACCTGGCCACAGCATGGGCAGGAGTGGAAGAAGCCTAACTGGAGGGAGGGGGAGCAGAGCAGCACCTGGCTGGCTACAACTGCACTGGGAACAGTCCCACCAGAAGCTGTGCACTGGCTGGGGCCTGGGCCAGTGGGGCTGTTCTGCTTCCCTTGTTTCCAGCTACAGCTGCAGCTGCACTGCTCCAGCTCCTGGCTGCCTTCTACTCACTCTGCCCATCCAGCATGATGAGCTGGGATCCTGGTTTTCTCCGATTTAAAGCAAAAATTGGGAATTAAAAAAAAAAAAAAAAGGAACCTAAAATCCACATTTTTCCATGATCAAAATGAAACATCACTAATATATAGATACATATATATAATGGTGTTTCATTTTAATCATGGAAAAATGTGCATGGGGGGGAGGGGGAGTTAAACCAAAAATTGGGGATTTTTTTTTTAAATCAGAGAAGAGCAGGATCCCTGGTGAGGAGCAGCCACCTGTGGGCAGGTGGCAGATAGAAGCTGGAGTCAGAGCCCCACACACTGGGGCAGGAGCCATCCAGCTGAAGCTTTCTTCCCACCTGCCCGCATAGAGCAGCACAGCAGAAGCAGAAGCCATAGCTGGAGGCATGGGGAGCAGAAAGTCACACCAGCCCTGGCCTTGCCAGCACATGCAGCTTCTGCTGGGACTGTTCCTGGTGTGGCTGCAGCTGGCTGAGTGCTGCTTAGCTCCCCTCACCTCCAGCAGTGGCTCCCCATCCCATTCTTGCCCCTGCTGCGCTGCTCCAGGTGGGGGTGGGACAATTCGCCCTCATATTGTCCCACCCCTCTCCCAGCTGTGTACATTAGCCATCATTGGGAGCTGGCGTTTCCATTTCCCAAGGCTCTCTAACACTCCCTGTGCCAAGATTCATGGTCATCATTTGTGGCTGTCAAAAGCAGAAGGGACACACTGATTCATGCCAGCCTTTCAGTGAAGATGTCAGAGGTCTACATCCAGAATCAAATTAATTCCTATCTTCTGATGGCAGAGAGTTCTTGGGCAGATTAAGCAATTCTTGAATCCTCTTGGTATCTTCCTCCATGCCTCCTTTCTTATTATCCCTTTCCATTTCTTCCAAGGCAATTTCAATTGAATTAAGCCTGGCTCCCCTTAAGGACAGAAAGAAGACACTGTGAGTACAATTTATAGTGCTGTAGTCTGAATACCTGCGTCTGCTGCAAACTGAAGAAACACTCCTAACCCAACAAAATTCCAGCTAGTCTTTTAGTTTTGGCACCAATTGCCAGTTTTAATGAGTCATTCCACCAGCATCAGGGAAGACAGGTAGGTTCATCCGTTTTAACTTGCTCTTTCTCCAGGCTGCCAATTGACTGCATGATCAAGACTACGGTATAACTGGGAACAAACAGCTGAAACTGAACAAAATAAAATTATGTGGATTTGGAAAAGCAGGTCCTGATTATGATATTAGTGGAGCAGCTTTCTGGGGAGAGAGCAGTGAAAAATATCACTGCTTCAAGTCAAAGTTGCAACGTACCATTGTAAGGACCAATCCTGCTATAAATTCAAACACATGTACTGGCTGATGATAAATTGCAGCACTGACTAGCACTGGGCAAAAATCACAGGGGTATATGAAACACTGAGAAGCCAAAAGCCAATGGGGGGAGCTGGGGTTGGAAAAGGAGATAGCCCATTAGCAAACTGCTTTGTGAGAATCAGCCTGACAAATGAAAAAGTTGGACCTATAGGACAAGATCCACTTCTGGTGAGTGATACAAATTCACCAAGGTAAAAGACTGCACTGTTCCTTACCACTCTGCTGTCTTCTGCTCATACAGCTCCCTTTGCTTCCTCTTTCGTCTTTCCACCATGGTTTCTGGAGAGAGCTTCTGCACTGCGATCAGTA